CTTTTATACTTACAAAAGCATATGTTTGTATTTGTAAAATATTTTTTAATTTTGTCCAGTTTGTTTTTATGCTTAATGTGATCATATATTTTTCAAGCTCAACTCTGTTGATTTCTGTTACCAATGAGTTAATGAAGGGTTGTAGACTTAATAGCGTTTGATATAAACTAAAAGCTGCCAATCATGCATTTCCGCTTTCTACGATTACCAGAACCTAACCTAAGCTCCGATACTATTTTCAGTGCAGTCTGTTTTTGTATGATGTAACATTTCAATGATTATCGCAAGGCATTCTCATCGCATTGACTTTTATGAATGCAATGACGTATACACATATGGTATATCGGTATGTTGGTATGTAACGTTTCGTGGTCAAATGTCTGTCGGAAATATTCAAGACAGTAGCCAGCCTTTACTCACTTCCAATACATACATATATACATATCTCTATTGACTCATGCCCTTAAATAATGACTTACTTAAATGTCGCAGGTTTTTATGAAAATATATACAGCGAATTATAAAGAGCAACAAAAACCTAGTCAAGCCGAATGCGCCGAGTAACACACTTGGCGTGCTAATTTGAAAACACACACACAACCGAAAAATGATATACAACATTCGGGTTAATCAATGCCTCCATTGTCCAGTGTCATTATGCATTTACGCATGCGCTGCATTGTAATTACTAAGCGTTTGGTCACTCGCCAGCTACTAATTCGCATGAATATTGGCTACTAGTCAGCCGATAATGCACGCATGCGCAGTAAATTGGCACGTTGGACTTCTTTTTGTCGACTTTGTCACGCTGCATTTGCTGGTGTGGGTTGTGTTGCGCAGCCGTAGCGAAAACAAATGTGATGCTATTGTAGTACACACATACATTTGTATTTAGATACAAAAAAATATATATTTATATGATGTTGATGTTTAACACATTAGTGCGTAATAAATATAAACAAGCACATGCATAACAAAAATAGTACGTATTGCAATTGCAAACGTGGATTGATACATTAGCGCAGTGCAAAAAAGTTGGCGTTGACGTTGGCGTCCATCGAGGCGTGGCTGTGAATGCGGTTGTGTAGCCTTGGCGTGCTTATCATGCATTCGCAGCTCACCAGCAATGCAATCAAATTTTAAATTAAAGAAGCTCACTGCGTCTGCGCACTCACATGTACATATGTATGTATATGTGCACAAATTGTCGTTCAAATGGCGCACGTAAGTGGGTTTTCGTTTTCATTATACGTTCGATTTTTATTTGAGTTTATTAGTTGAATGGTCGCTTTGATTTGTATAAAAGGCCCAGTTGGCGCCGGTTCCAATCAGTTCAAATCCATTTTCGGTATTTAGAGCAACTAAATCAATAATTCAACCACACCCAACAAAAATGGCATTCAAAGTAAGAAGCAACAAGAATAAGGATACAATCCACATATAATAAAATCAAAAAAGTCTCAGCTACAATTTATAACAAAAAAGGACAAAAGTCCATACGGCACTACAGTGCCTACAAAAGTGCTTCAAAAGACTTAAGCAAGAAACTTGTTACAATCAGTGTTTGCAATATAAAGTAATCACAGTTCTTTATACTCAATTACAGTTCATCGCCTTCTTCGCACTGTGCATCGCTGCCGCCAGCGCCGGTGTGATCGCACCAGCTGCTCCTTTGGCCGCCGTAGCCGCTGCGCCTTTGGCTGTTGCAGCTCGCGTTGAGGAATACGACCCACATCCCCAGTACACCTACGGCTATGATGTGAAAGATGCTCTTTCCGGTGACTCCAAGACCGCTGTGGAGACCCGTGACGGTGATATCGTTCAAGGCCAATACTCTCTGAATGATGCTGATGGTTACCGTCGCATTGTGGACTATACCTCTGACCCAATCAACGGTTTTAACGCTGTTGTTCGTCGTGAACCTTTGGTTGCACCCGTCGTTGCTGCCCCAGCTCCCATTGTCAGAGCCGCTCCTTTCGCCGCACCCGCACCAATCGTTGCTGCTGCCCCAGCTCCCCTTATCGCCGGACCAGCAGCAGTGAGGACCCAATTCGCATCGCCACTCATCTCTTATGCCTATTAGAGAAGTTGGACTGAACATTTGCCATTAGTTGTTAAACATGAATAAAGCCAAACTGTGACTATATAGACAAAAATATTTGTACTTTTATTTTTCAATCGTTAAAGGAGTGTTATGATGGTGCAAATTATAATTTCAGCCATCAATTTCATTATTTAAACTTCCATTGACATCTGGATATATGTATAGGTATACATAAGTAAACATGAAGGGTTGTGTTACATTGCATCATCAGTAAGGTATTTTCGCAATGGGACAACACCGCATGTCAAATGTTGGTGCCACACCCATGCGGATTATGTCCACCAACAGAATTTTTGCGACATGACTTGCAACTAAACGTCGCCGTGGGATGTGAGATGTTACATTGTGACTAAGTAAAGGACAGGCATTCGTAAATCAGATACCTTTAAGTACCCGCACCAGCAATATACGGCTGTGGTAATGACTAAGCCACACGTGAATTCAAATGTATAGGCACCTACAAATATATAAATGGTAGGAAAGCGTGTGTCTTGCCCATAATAGATCTTATAAAGCAATAAAGAAATAAAAAGAAGAAAATTTGCGATTATAAAATTTATAAGAGAAAACAAATGAGGTGGTTTAATTTTATTACCGAAAAGATCGACGATGCTCAAACTAAATTGTAAAATGCTGTGAGAGACCACTTTGAAATCTTCTTTTTAAAAATAATAGCATTATCCGCCCATTTTTTGTATGTTAAAAACACAAGTAGTAGCAGTAGCAGTAGCAGAATTTTACAGTCTATCAGACCACGATAAAGAAAAGTAAGCGAAAACTGAACAAAAACTCTGGTCACTTATTTCTGCAGCCTCAAGGAGTTTAATCCCCTAAAAAATTATTACTTTTCGAAATTTAAATAAAATATTTAATCAAGTTTTACAGTATCGGCTAGAATGCAATCGCTATTTTTGCTTTGCGTGAAAAAGATTGTAAGGTCGCTCCTCGCCATCTCAAGAAGTTTTTGTGTCGTTTCATGGTCATCACCGAAACATAGAATCACCAGTACGCACCAGAGACCATAAAACAGACGAACTTCTGAACTTCACCCAACTAACTTAATCCAAAGAAGACGAAGACGACGATGGGATCTACAACTACTACTTAAAGATGGCAAAACGATAACAGGGTTCTATTATGGGTCTATCGGGACGAACTGCAGGAAAAGCTGCTTTTCCACCATGACAAAGCAACAGCATATACCTCCGCTATCGCCATAGCCAAAGTTGTCAAATTAACCTCATTGCACAGATTTAACTCTGTGCGACTTCTATTTATTTGAAAACTTTAAAAATTCAGAAGTTTGAGCCAGAAATTCCTTTGTTGCCGCCACAGAGCCCTACTTTGCAAATCTGCAGTAAAAGTGTTTTCCAATTGGAGCATCGCTAGATAAATTAAATCAAGGTAAAAGAAGACTATTTTGGAAACTAAATGGCCATTAATGCAATTTTTCATTTCTCTCTCAACAAGCATTCATTCACATATTACCCGTAGCACAACGAAACTCTCTGTAAATCATTTGTATGAGCAAATTACCACTTAAATAGCGTCAGTTAATAGCTTTTCGTTTTTATTGCGGCTTCTGATTTCTTCGTTGTCTTCGACCCATCGATTTGATTTGTATAAAAGACTCACTCGTTTAGTCTTCAAATCAGTTCAATTCCATTTTCTTTATTTGTAGCAACCAAATCAATCAAACTAAACAAAAATGGCATTCAAAGTAAGCACTTATATCGATACCAAATATTAGTAAACATTTTATTTGATCCACAACTGTAATATAAAAGATTTAAAGTCATATAAGAGTGAACGAACTTTTAATCTGAAGTATCTTTTATTCGTAGTTCATCGCCTTCTTCGCTCTTTGCGTCGCTGTCGCCAACGCCGGTGTCATCGCACCAGCTGCTCCATTGGCCGCCGTAGCCGCTGCGCCTTTGGCTGTCGCCGCTCGCGTTGAGGAATACGACCCACACCCCCAGTACACCTACGGCTATGATGTGAAAGATGCTCTCTCCGGTGACTCCAAGACCGCTGTGGAGACCCGTGACGGTGATATCGTTCAAGGTCAATACTCGCTAAATGACGCCGATGGTTACCGTCGTATCGTGGACTACACCTCTGACCCAATCAACGGTTTTAACGCGGTTGTTCGTCGTGAACCTTTGGTTGCTCCCGTCGTTGCCGCTGCTCCAGTGGTTGCTGCTCCAGCTCCAGTTCTCAGAGCCGCTGCCTTTGCCTCACCAGTAGTCGCTGCCCCTGCTTCAGTTGCCACTGCCTTCGCCGCTCCAGCTCACCTCGTCGCCGGACCAGCAGTAGTGAAGACCCAATTCGCTTCACCACTTATCTCTTACGCCTATTAAAGAAGGTCGGCTGAACATTTGCTATTAGTTGTTAATCATGAATACAAACTGTGAATAAATTTTAAACATAAATATATATTTTGTGGGTGTTAATACCTTTTTATAAAAACAAACAGATATAAAAGTAGTGTAAGCTGAGTGGGCTAAATTCGCATCGAATTATGAGAATATTCCTGTTAGACTTTGAGATGCCTCGAAAAGATTTAAATGAGCTGAAAATCAACGAAAATCGATATAAACCTCAATACGATTCTAACTTTATGATGAATATCAAACAATACAATAGATAATTCTAGCGCACAGATAATTGACCTTGAATACATAGTCTGGCTGTCTTTAAGGCAAAATAACCGGAGATGTGCCAAAGTCAAATAATTTGATTAATCAATAGTCCATAGCTATACACACATAAGATATCGAATAGAAATATAGTCAAACATAGACTTTAAAGATTATAACAGTTAAAACAGAAAATTATTGCTTTCGAAGTTTTCCGTTTATTTGAGTTTTTTGTCATTTCAATCGAATACAAGTTTTTAGTAAACATATGAAACATGCGGAGCTGTAAACGAGGTCTTGACCACGGCTGGATGAGCCTCTGTATGAATGGCGTGATGCGTGATGACAGCCGGAGATGTCTTCAGCAAGGTGGTAGCTGCGGGCGCGGTATGGACAAAATGAGTGGCTGGCGACAAATGAACTGCGGTAGCCGGAGCGTGGTGTATGACTGCGTGGGTGGCCGGTGCGTGATGAAGCAAAGTAGGTGCAGCGTAAGCGCGGTAATATGCGGGCGAAAAAACCGGTGTAACATAGGATTTCTGTGTCAACTGTTCGTACTTTGGAGCAATTGGAGCTGGTAGATTGGGTAGGCTGGCAGAAGTTGCGGGTTGAGCATAAAGATTTTCTATTTTGGGCTGTGGCAAAATCTGCGGTGTTGAAATTGCAGGAGCCAAGTTCTTTGCCGGCTCGCCCAACAGTTCGCGGCGTACAGTGGCTTTAAATCCATTCACCGCATCAGCAGTATATTCGACAGTGCGTTGATAGCCGTCAGCCTCTTGAAGTGAATATTGTCCGCGGACTACATCACCATCACGCTGCTCCGATTGTGACTTAATGTCGCCGGTTACCGCGTCCTGCACATCATAATTGAAGCTATAGCTGGGGTAGGCGTCGGTTTCATCGTTCTTTTCTTCGGCAGCATTTGCAACGACAGCAACAATGGTCAGAGCGATGAAGCAGTAGTAGTAGTTCACTTTAAATGCCATTTGGACGCCGTTAAGAATTTCGGATTTATTTTTTAATTAATTCGACTTTGTAATACAAGCACAGTTGAAGCTGAACTGATGAACTTATAAATTGTATCAACCAATTTATAGTATTTTCACTACACATTTACCAGCCTATTTTCACTCTTGACCCAATGCCACAATCAAAGGAACAATTACCACGCTGTAAGCGCATGTGGCAAGGTCAGCGTATGCAAAAGGCTGCAACCTGACATTGAGCGTTCGGGTGCCTGTGTGTGTGTGTTTTGCTCATTGACGTTGTGTGCACTTAAGATTGTGCTTATCATGTCCCATTTGCACATGCAATCGTCGACACCATCTGCATCTCTGCGCCAATAACAGCGTTGTCATAGTGTCTTCAGTGTTGCTGCAACACGCAACCTGTTCCCTTCACCTACGTCACTGTCATTACTATGGTCGCAACCGTATCGGCTGAAGGCAGAATGGTGCCAAAATACAAGAAACATACGAATGGCTTGTGCTTAATTGCATGCAAACAGTTAAATCAAGAAATGGAACACTTGCTGCCACAATTAAAAAATGCTCGGTCAGTATTTTATTTTATTAAATTTAATGTTAACAACCGTGTAATGTGGGTGTATTTAATAAAGTTCAAATAAAGAGAAGAAAAATAATCAAATACAATACATACTATATGCGCGATTAGTACAGAAACCCACGAGGGACCCGTATTTATAAGTAAATATGCATATTGCAAATAATTGAGTAGCCATGAATTATTTCATTAAAATATATTTATGGATTTCCCAACCTACCAGCTTCTTACTATAGTTTTGGCGGTATATACATATAATATTTTAAGCTGAAAATTATTTTTTTATATCCATAAGTAAGGAAGCCCAACTCAGTCAATCTATTCAATAGATTTAAAGAGCACACCTAGCGAGTATCAAAAAATAAAACGACAAATTATTTTTTTGTCTTCAACAGTTTATACTTTAAAAGAAAAACATAAAAAATTTTAAATCGATATCTCAAATAGTTTTTGACTTATAGCCTTCTAAAATGTAACCATTCAGTTCAATCAGATCCGTTAGTTTATCATAAACGCGCTTTTCTCAAAACTACGTTTTTCAATTTTACTTAAGCAATTATTCGGAGACAAAATGATCCGACCACTATAATTTTTCCATACAATGATGCACCAGTTTTAAAATTCAACTTTTTTTTTGAATCTCCAGCATTTTTAATTTTTTTAACAAAAGATCATTGTACGAGAAATATTTTCTAGAAGAGGCTTTTAAAGGTTTCTTCCATGCAGGAGGCGGAATCATTGCAGCAGTGGATGACCTTTCTTGGCAGCGTCAGAGATGGCGTGTAAATAAAAAAAATATTAAATTTTGTTCCACAAAAAGTTACTATATATTCTATATATCGTATACATATATGCAGAGAATGTTAATAATATAATCTCAGATATATGTATGTATATAAGTATATCCTTACCCTTGTTTTTTGTTATTAATTCTCAAAAATCGCCTCTCCTTTATACCGATCTTTTCCTTGAGGAAACAGCATTGGTAGCATTTACAGATTCTTCTTTTAATCACAGTCTATAATTTTGTTGGCTGAAGAGTCTTGATAGCTGCAGTATATATACAGATACTATTTGTATATAATTTTCTGTGTATTTTTAAAATTTGTATAAATATACCGTTAACATTATAAAATATAGTTGATACAGTAGTCGTTTTTTATTCTTAAAAATGTTTTAGGCTGTGACACTCACTAGGTGTGCTCCTTACATATTTTATGTACCAAAAATGAAGAATATCTGAAAAGGCGATTCCCCCCAAAAATTCAAAGCAGAGAATGTTAATAAATATTTATAATAATAATGATTCCATTATTATTTTCTGATATCAACATCATTTACTAACATTATCTGCCTAAATGTATGCTTAAACATAATCCGCAGCGCTGACAACGAACTTCAACAAAATAAATCGCGCCTAAATGTATACATCACTTCACACCAGCAACAATAAGTACGTTCATTTTGACTAAACCCCTGATTACACTTCATTCGCACCAGCAAAGCATGCATACACAATTATTACAATTTTTTACGCAAATGAGATTACAAAATATAATTTTTTTGAATAAAATTTTATAAATTTTATATCAAATCTTTTACCACACAAGTTGAAATTAAAATTCCATAATATAATTTTTTCGTTAGAACGGACTAACTTGACACACTTGTAAACAAAAAGATTTCGGATAGTCTTTCTAACTGTCTGCTTTGAAACTACTTCTTTAAAAACCAATCAATGGTTAGAACTAGGCCATAAGTTTAACAAATAGGAAATGAAAAGAAGGTTTTCCACATAAACAAACACTTTGGAAAATTGGTATGTATGTATGCATGTTTTTCACTTTTATCGTGTGACGAAAAGTACACTAAATTTCTTAGTCAATAACATTGTCAATTTCAGTTTCAAACAAAATTATGTAATTGATATAAAATACCTCCAGTCAAAATACACTGAAATACATTTACACAGTCCCTCATTTAATACTTATATATCTATGTATGTATGTATATATAATTTATTTCCACCAACTTAGCAACATTGAGCTTCGGTACACTCACTTTTTATCTCATGTGTAAAATCATTTTCACGAACGTATTTATTCGACAAGCACAAAAAAATTAACATAGTTTTGATCACTACATCTTTTTTATTTAGTTACGACGGCGATTGCAAAATTAGTACGCTCACAGCATTCAGCATCACTTCATTCATACACAAGTCCTTAACAAGGATACACAGAATTATTTTCGGGGATAAGCACACCGGATTTCTATCTTGCACGCACACATTCCACATATTATCATTTCGCCAATGGCCGAAGAGTCATTTTGAACGATTTTCATTGGTTACGGTGAGCGATGCGTTTATATAGTGTACCTGCTCTAACGTAAGTGCGAGTGTAAAAATGCCAGTCGTCGACCATTTCTTTACCTGTAATCATCACATGAGCGCTTACATCCGCACACCATACATAAACATGCATAGATTTGTATGAGCATGAAGGAATTAATTGTTAACACCATCGAAATACCAAAAAGTACATTCCCAATTTATTTCATATTAAAACTTTTTTAGTTAACATTAGTCAGAAATTTATGTACATACAAGTATATAACTATGTAGGTATATACAAATTTATATACTTAGACACATTTTGTATGTGTCGGAATTCATGTTAGCACATAATTCTCTTCATTGGTTTTTCTTCTGAATGATACGTTTTCACGGAGCTCTCTTCCCAGAGAAAACTTTAGCATACACAGATCCTTATTTTCATCTTAGTTTATAATTTTGATGGCTAAAGCGACGTTAATTAACCGGATAGATTCCGTATATCTGAACGCAACATCAAAAAATTTATTTACAATTAAAATATATTTTCAACTTCTAACGTCATAGTCCATTACGAAATGAATATAAACAGGGTGAGCGCATTGAAGATCTAACTACAGTTTGATGCTACTATGTTTTTCCATCACTTTCTAGTGTGATCAGGGCCGGCCCGAGACAATTTACCGCCTTAGTCAAATGTCGAATTCTCCGCCCCTTCTAAGCTAAATTTAACAAAATTTCTAACATTTGAAAATTATTAATGAGTAATTTTTCCAAAAATAGCTGGTACTTCGTTACGTAAATCTGTTGCATCTACCATATATCTGTCAATCCACCATGAGTTAATGACATTTCTAATTTTTTACAATATTCAAAGCTGTAACTGTGCAGCTGATCAATATTAAACAAAAATCAAGAAGTTATAGTAACTTGTTTCAACCGATCGTATCTTTCATCGATTGAAGAAAATCCAGCATCAATAATGGCAAAATAGAAATTATTTTTAAAATTTAGCTTTGCATCGCAAATTGGCTCGTCTTCTTCTTCATAGTTGAACTGTCTTTTCTGTTTCCTCAAGCGAACTGCAAAAGCAATATTTTTTAATATGAAGTTGAAGGTATTTCCCCGGATTTGATCATTACAAATTGCAAAAGCATGAAAGGTTCGGCCACACCCAAACTTAGCCCTTACTTACTTGTTTTTAATACTTTTTTTCGAAATCAACAAAAAATAAACTATTTAAATTATGTCATCAGGTTAGCACATATCACCTTTTTTAATATTCCTTAACATTTTTAATCAAGAACATATTTTTAAACTAATGTATTAACTAATTTTAACATTTCTATATTATTTTAATAATGAGTCCATTCCGCCTTTTTAAGTTTTATTCGTTCGTGAAATCGTACTTTTTTCCAATGTAATTTAAAGAAATTGATGACCAATCGTTTTTAATACCCACAACTAGTTCCTCTTTAGTGGAGTACTGTCTGCCAGATTCGAAATCCAACCATTCTCACATCATTTTATTACTTCGATGTCAGTTGAGTAAGGCATTAAATCGACGTTTTGTCCCTCAAACCTAGACTTAAATACCCAGGCAGTATGAATCGGTGATTTATAGAAAAACAATTTCCAGTAATACATAATTGTGCCCATCGGTCTTTCCGAGTTAATTTTTTTTTTCGTCTGAAAAAATAACAATCTGATTTTCCGGCCTTGTGCTCCGATGCAAAATTTAATAGTGAATCTTTTCGAGGAACCTTAAATGGTAGTTTTTTCTTTAGTTTTAATAGTTTCAAATATGGACCGTTCCTTAGCACCCTTTTAACGGTAGATAAGCTGACTTTAACACTAGCATTACGCAAGAAATTGTATATACATTTTTGACTTCTGCCAATTTTTTTTTTAAAATTTCAATTATTGAAAGCTGTAACTCTTCACAAGCTTCGATTATTGCTTTCTCTTCTCTTCGATCGTGATTATTTTTTATCAATATTAAAGCCAATAGAGCACTTAAGCAATACACAATATTTGGCGTCAATACGTATTCAAACTACGAAAATAAATGCAAATAAAGTTGCATCT